TTTCTTTTCTGCTAGCCTTCCTGTTCTGTCTGGCTAGACACACACTAAAAGATTGTCTTCCTCAGGTGCAGAGCTCTAGTGAAAGGAGAAATTAGGGAGGGTGGGTCAGCCCAGAAGCAAGCTGGGCAAACATTCACAGTGGAAAATCCAGAGCTGACCTTCACTGATAACCAGGAGCAGACCCCCTGAACTAGCCGGCCACTACACAGGGGTTTTCAGAAGAGCAGATTTTGATCAATATGAACACACAGTGTGCAGGCTTGGCCCCAGTAGGAAAAGTAAACACAGCCTTGAGATCTGCTTCCAGGGCAGAAGTTGGGAGTAAGAAAAATGCTATGTATGATGACTGATTTTCACGTAGAAAAAAATCTTTCAAGGGAGTGGATTTACAGCCCCACATTACATGACTCATAGTTTCACAGATCACTCTGTATTCACTTATCAAGCAAATGTTTATGAAAAGCTTCGTATCCTAGATGCTGAGCTGCTAAGTGCCAGAATTACATAAAAGAATAGAACAGCCTGGGATTCTAGTTCTCAAGGCCTCGAAAAACTAGCAAAAGAGATGGACAAATAGGTTCAAGGGTGCTGGTGCTCTACTAGGGCAGCACTTGCTGGATAGTGGGGGGATAGAGGAGAGATAGCTGGCTCTGACCAGGAAGTTGCAGATGTTGAAGTTGATTGCTGAGAGATAAGCAGAAATGAGCTAGGCCATAGAAGTGAGGAGTGGGACAGCAGGGAAGAGAATTTCAGGCAGAGAATGGAATGGATCCCCTCTGGAGCACAGGGGTGTATTTGTCACCTAAGGTAAACACTCAACTACTTTTGCTGTTAGATTTGCCTGTCAGTGTTCATAACCTCCTAGCACATCTACACCAGGCAGCGCTAACAGACACCTGGACTGGGGTTTTCAAAGCATCTTCAGGTTCTTCAGTTTTGGAAGATCTGCACACTTCTGATGTGACTTTCATCGTTGAATGTCATTTAATATTTTCCAGATAAACTTTCAAAATTTTTGAACAGTTTGAGGTTGTTATTTGATTTTAACTTTATATTTCAAAATGGTTTCAAACTTACAGAAAAGTTTTAAGAATTGTGTAAAGAACCCCCCCAAAGCATATATTCACTTGACCTCCTGTTAACATTTGTTTTATACATCTATCTACTTATATATATCTCCACACCCTCTTCTTTTTTTCCTCCTTCTCTTGATCTTATCTTGATATTAATTGTTCTTTTTATGTTTGCCAAAAGTTTGAGATACCATACCTCTTTCTCCTATGATAGTTAAGCTTAATTTTCAACTTGATTGGTGTGGGGGCCCCTTAAGGGATTGGTAAAGCACACTTCTAGGTGTGTCTGGGTGGGATCATGGAGACATAACCTTGGGTACTGTATCTAGTTTCTGGCTCCTGCCTGAGCTGCTTCTCACCCACCATGAACTAAGCTGCCTGTTTTACCAAGCCCTTCCACCATAACGTTTCTTGCCTGGAGCCTGCCCACCATGGACTGAACCCCTTGAAACGTGAGCCAAATACACCATTTCTTCCTTCAGATTGTGGGTGTTGGGTATTTGGTCCCAGCAACTAGAAAGCTGAGCAATACATCTCCTAAATACTTTAGCAGATATCTGCTGTTAAGAACAAGGATATTCTCTTACAGAATCCCAGCACAATGATTGCATTTAGGAAACCTAACATTGATACTACACTGTCATCTCACATGTATTCTATTTTTATCAACTGTCTTGATAACATCCTTTATGTCTTCTGGTTCTTCAGTCTAAGATCATACATTGCCTTTAGCTGTGATGTCTCTTTGGTCGTTTTTTGTTTATTTGTTTGGTTTCTGGTTTTTTTGAGGCAGAGTCTCGCTGTGTAGTTCAGGTTGGAACTCATGGCAATCCTCCTGCCTCAGCTTCCTGAGTGCTAGGAATGCAGGCATGTGCCACCATGCCTTGCTCTTTGGTCTTCTTTAATGTGGACCAGTCTCTTTGTTTTTCATATTCTGTTTTTGAAGAGTATAGATTAAATATTTGTAAGATGCCTCTTACTGTAGCTTCCTTTGGTTCCTTCATGATTAGATTTGGTTTATGTATTTTTAGCAAGACAGCAGTATTGTGTCTTTTTTCAGAAGATTATATCAGGAAGCTCATAATGTCAGTGTCTTACTATTGCTGATCTAAACTTTTATTTTTATTTTTTATTTTGGTTTTTTTTCTGGTACCGGGAATCAAACTCACGACCTTGCACTTGCCAGGCAGGTGCTGTGCCACTGAGCTAAATCCCCAGCCCCTAAACTTTTATTTTTAGTATATTTAATTTTAATTGTTATTATTTATTGACTTATTTTGAGACAGGATCTCACTATGCAGCCCAGGCTGGCTTCAAATTTGCAGTCTCCCTGCCTCAGCCTTCCCAGTGACTAGGATTGCTGTGCCTTGTTAGTATATTTTAAACCACAACAAAAGCATACATATCCAAATGTGTTTCTATGCCAATTTTATCATAAAGATTTAAAACAGGCTAAACTGCTTCAGTTTACTTATTTGAATGCAGACCTCAGTATTTAGTCTTTCCTTGCATTTCTGCATTTATATTTGAACTTTGTGTAGATGTGTCACTGATTAATAAAGTTATACCTGTACACTGACCTTAAAAAAGGCTACTAGGAGCTGTATGAATAATGAATTATTGTTGATGTGAATCTGAATTTCCTTGATACTGTGCAACCAAAACAACATACAAAAGTAAACCAGAATCTTGAAGTTTAAGTCAACGGTGAGCCTCACTGGACAGATTTAAATTCACCAAGAGATTCACTGGTATCAGTGCTTCAGTTTATACTAATTTGGGGCTAACACAATAGTTAATAGAACACCCTTTGCACATAATAGTGCATGTGTTTTACATTTTGGTTTCCTGTGCAAGATACTGATGATAATAAACTTTTATTTTGGCCATTTGAAAACCACACAGTCACCCACTAGACTTCCTCCCTCCAGACGATTTCTGTACTTCTCTCCTCATCTGCAGGCCTTGATGTTCCTTTTCCTCATGCCTGGGATTTTGTCCTGATTTCCAATAATCCCAGAACCAGGGAACACATATATCCACTTACCACTGGGCTTTGAGGTGTGTTCCCTGGTTACTCCAAAGTGCATAGAGATTGAAATGTTATACCTGTAAATAAAGATTCAGTTCTGCTTATGTCAAAGCACAGCAGCGTGAACATTTTAGGAATGCAGACACACTGCACAATTGCCTGCTTCCCCATAGCCCCACCCACGCAAGTGACCCAAGCAGGAGACGGTTCTACCTGGGAAGCGTTTGGCCCAGAGATCTGTTTTGTTTTTGTTTTTGTTTGTCTTTTTTGAGACAGGGTCTCGCTCTGCAGTTCAGGCTGGCCTTGAGCTCACTTTGTGGCCCAGGCTGGTCTCGAACTCACAAGGATCCTCCTGCCTCAGCCTCCTGTGTGCTGGGATTACAGGCGTGCGCCACCACTCCCAGCTGGCCCAGAGATCTGATTCCACAAATAAGGACTGTGATCCAGCAGGTGTCTTTCATAGAAAGGAAGCTGCTAATGGTAGTCAGACTGCAACCTGGATAGCTCTGTCTGTGCCAGAGCCTGGGACACCTTTCCCATGGCAGAAGAGCTCCCTTTAAGGTCAAGCCACTTTCTTCTCTCTTGGCAAGTGTGGGTTGCTGGCAGCTGGAGCAGGCCTTGAGCAAGGTCTTTCAGTGTAGTTTACTCATCTCAAATTCAGCCACAGAGCTGAAGCCCAGCCAGGTCCTTGGAGGCCTCTAGATTTCCTAGTAGATTTTGCAGCAGAAGATGGTCCTAATGGAAACACAGGACTGGAGAGGAACAGATGCCTTAGAATGTCCTTTGTATTTTCACTGAAAAATGCATTCTATGTTGTACAAGAATTTTCCAAGCACACTCAATATATCTATGATTTAGAGATCACTTACAACTCATTCCATGCCATGGAACCTGGATGGATTTCATATTTATGTGTGCAAGGCACTACTATAGCTATTTGTTGGATGCCAAGGAGGGATATCAAGAAGTTTAGAGCATAGTCTACAACAATCCTGGAGACGGGACACATCGGCATGCTAAAACTTGGCAATACAAGGTAAAGTCTGACGGCATGCTCAGAGGAGTGGTGGAGAAAGTGGGCCACAGGGAACCGGGCTGGCCGCTGGCGCTCAAGTCAAAAGACCTGCGTGAAGTTGCAGCTTTTCTCCTCCTGGCTGTGCGGCAAGTTCGCTAAGGCACTTAGAACTTAGCTCTGGGCATGTTTGGTGGCCTTAAAATGTTACAATTACTTCAGGGATGGGTGGTGCGTGAGCACACGAGAGGGGGCGCTTCGCCGCAAGGCGACAGAGTTTCAGTGAATAACACTCGCTAAAACTCCGCCAACTACTTTTGGGATTTCGTTGGCCTCTAGCAAGCGAGGGCAGAAGGGACCCACACTTAGCTGATTCCACCTAGAGTCTTTTACCACGGCCACACGCAGACGCCCGAGATTCCAGAGTCTATCCGTAGGGGGCGCTGCCGCCCAGGCGCTACGGCCTC